TTCCAAATGATGGAACCACAGTTCGTACCACCTCACCCAGACACCATTAATTTTAATGTAAAAAAAGAAAACTGAAAAACAAAAACATAGGCATCTCAGAAACTAAGTAGGTAAGACTATATATCTTCAGAGGTTAATGCATTTGCCAGCTTTGTTTCCTCAAGCATATGTGTTTGTGTGCCTTTTCACACTGACGTACGTGTGTGTGCATGAATAGATCATCAGTGCTATTACTGACTGGGGAGGTTGGGTCTCTCACTGCACCTGGGGGCTCACCCAGGCCAGCTGGAGGGCCCTCCTGTTTCTACCTCCCTGACACTGGGAGTAGAGATTCACATTATCAGCTGGGCACTGGTGGTGCCCAAGTCCCAGCACTCGGGAGGCAGAAATAGGAAGATCTCTGTGAGTTCGAGTTCAGCCTGGTCTACAGAGTGAGTTCCAGGACAGCCATGGCTACACAGCCCTGTCTCAAAAAACAAAACAAAAACAAAGAACAAAGAATGAAGAAAAAAATTCATGTTTATGTCCATGTTTGGCCTTATGCTTGCAAGGCATGTGTGGAGTGACCCAAGTCCTACTGCTAATTTTACTTTTTTCTTGAAGAATTGTTTTATAATTCATATGTACGTATCTGTGTGAGTGCACACCCATGTGTGCAGGTGCCCAAAAAGATCAGAAGAGGACACTGGATCCCTGCAGCGTGACAAGGTGGCTGTGAGCAGTCTGATGTGGCGCCAGGAAGCAAGCCTGGGTCCAGCTCTGCAGCCCAACCTTCTGGTAGTGCTGACGCGACAATGACAGTGGGGACAGCACGCTGGGGGGCGGGGTGCTCTCCTTACTCTTCCTCCTGCTAGTAGGGAAACACAAATGTGTACACCGCATGCCTGCGGCAACACAATTCACAACAGAGAAACCTTGGAGACACATACATCCACCAACTGGAAATGAGAACTGAGAGGGGCTATTTAGCAGTGATTAAGAAATAGCTTAAATAGGCTGACATTTAAGAACCAAGACAAAACTGGATCCATGATCTACAAACAAGTGCAAAAAGCAAATTCTCATGGTCATTTGTCACATGTGACTCCATTCTGGGTTAAATTCCAGTCGGCCTGGAATTTCTTCACACATTGCTGTGTGAAGACAGCAATGGCCTGAGTGGGCCAGGTTTCCACAGCTCGGGAGCCTCCAGCAACTCCAGAACAGAGAGGCACAGAGCCTTAGCATCCTGTCTCTATTTATTCTTGTAATGTGTAATTTCTTTTTCTTTTTGGTGAGTATACACCAGTATAATTAACAAGGCAATTCAAAAGTATCTCCCATTCAACCCCACACTACAGACTAAGGTAAGCCAAGCTCTGTCTCATTAACATAAACATAAGCTCTGGAAAACAGATCAATTAATTCCTAAGAGCTGCATACGACAATGACATTAATGGAAAAGGAAAAAGGAGTCATTTGAGCTAAAGCACCACGGGCTGCTGACTGCCTCCCCCTGGGTCAGTGGAACCTGTGTGCCGACAGGACGTGCCGGGTGCCTGGGAGACCAGCAAGTTGTTTCATAGTTGGTGTCTCAGCCCTTGTCTAAAGCTCCAGGGAGTCAGGCTAAAAGGCAAGCCCACGGGCAGGGTGCCCTACACACCATGGTTCAGTTAAACAAGCTGCCCACAGCACTCACTCTCAACAGCAAACAGGGCAGAGCAGCAAGGAGCAGAAGGCAGACATGAGACTGCCAGGAACTGGAAGAACTCCTGACCTTGGGACAGGAAATCCCCAGGCAGCCAGGGGACAGGTTTGCTCAGAAAGCTGTGGTCCTTCCCCTGCACTCGAAAGGCTGAGCAAGCTGTGTGCAGTCATCCCATGCCAAGCCTCTCAAGGAATCACCCTCCTCCTTCATGGAGCACCTTCTTCAAGAGCAACATCAGAGGACAGGCCTGTTTTCCAAAGTTAATTTCCATGATCTTTTCAGATAGGGACTCGCAATACAGCCTCACCCAGCCTTGAACTCTGGAGCCCACAGCCCTTTCCTAGGTCTCCAGAGCTGTGGGGTTACAGGAGTGAACTCACGCGTGGCTCACGTCATTTAAGACTCAAGATTAAACTAAGAACGCACTCACAGGACGGGCAAACTCTCACGGCCAAGGCACCAGAACTTACCAATGTGGGGGACGCAGCATGAACCCACACGCAGACCCAGTATGATCACGTATAGAAATCAGCATCTCGGTAAGATGAAAGAACCGAAATACTCAAGATACTTCCGGAATAATAGCAGTATTACCAAGGCGATTTAATAAAGAAAAGGATGCTTCAACATAGTGCTGACACAGCTGGACGTGCACACATGAAAGTTATCTCGAAATGGGTAACATCCTTAAGCAGAGAACTCAGAGCTAGAATTTCAGCTCTGAAAATACAGAAAAGAATGCCCCTGGAGCTAGGAGGATGGGCCGGTTAAGAATGTGTCTCCTGTGTAGCAGGAGAGCCAAGTCAGAATCTTAAGCACCCTTCTAGAAAATGCCAAAGTGCGGTATATGCGGCTGCAGCACCAGCTGAGGGGGGGAGAGCACAGCTGGGGGCCCCAACAGTTCAGTGTCAGTCAGTCAGTCCAGCCCCATCAGCAGCCCCTTCATCAGGAGACCTTGTCCCAAAATACAAGGTAGATAGGGTGTGGTGACACCAGCGTTTAATCCCAGCACTAGTGAGACAGAGGCAGTGGATCTCTGCGTTCAAGGCCAGTCTGATGTATGAAGAAGCTTCAGTCAGCCAGAACTACACAGCGAGACACCGTCTCAAAGGTAAATAAATAGAGGAAACCACAGAGGAAGATACTTGACACCAACCTCCGGTCTCTGCACAGACCCACACATGCATACACACGCAAGATCAGGCATACCCCTCCCCAAGGCACGACTTTATCCATCAAAAAAAGAACTTCTCTAAAATGAAGCTCCTAAAGGCCACGGTAAGTGCGGTTATACACTGAGAAGAAAGCACATTCGATAAAGAAGTCAGCAGAGTGTGGTGGTGCAGGCCTGTGAGCCTAGCTAGCACCTGGGAGGTTGAGGCAGGGGAATCACTGAGAGTTCAAGGTCAACTTGGGCTATAATAATAAGACCTTATCTCAAAATCTTAGAAAACAAAAATGTTCAAAACAAATAAATAAAAAAATAAATTCCAATTCAGTCAGGCATGGCGATAGACATACATAACGACAGCACTGGGAGGCTGAGGCAGGAGAACTGCCATGAGTTTGAGGCCAGTCTGAGCGACACCTTGTCTCAAAAGACAAAAAAGAATTTATGCCAAAAATACATAGAGATCTCACAGCAGGTGTCCGCGGACACTGAGGATGGGGCACACAGAAGCTCTGCTGGGGCAGGTGGGGGTCCCACTTCTCCGAGGATGGCTGAAGCTTAACAGACCTGATGGTGCTGCGGCCTGGGCCGACAGTACACCACAGCAGGGGATCCAGAATGGTGTGTCATTGGCACATAGCTGAGTGGCTGCTAATGAGAACCTACGCCTACATGAAAAATGGTAACATATAGGAGTTTTACCTGAAACTCAAATACTGAAAATGACTAACTGGTCCTGGGTGGGGAAAGGATAAACTGTGGCACACCTCTATAAAGGAACACAGCTCAGCAATGAGAGGGAAGAAATGATGAAAAATGCAAGATGGATGCACTGTGCAGGACAGAGGTGCACGCTGACTCCTGACGTGGGACTCCCCCCCCTGTGTGCTGTGAATACCATTAGTTAATAAAGAAACTAGCTTGGCCTGATAGGGTAGACAGGTGGGGAAAACTAAACTGAATGCTGGGAGAAAGGAGGCGGAGTGAGGAGAAACCATGTAGCTCTGCCAGAGACAGACACGCTGAAATTTTGCTGGTAGGCCACGACCTTGTGGTGATGCAGATTAATGGAGATGGGTTAAATTAAGATGTAAGAGTTAGCCAATAAGAAGCTAAAGCTAATAGGTCAAGCAGTGATTTAGTTAATACAGTTTCTGTGTGATTATTTTGGGGCTGAGCAGCCGGGAACCAACAAGCAGCCTCCATTAACAGACTCCATTCACATAATGTTCTAGAAAAGGCAAATTATTGGGACAGATATCAGATGCCCTGTCCCCAAGGCAGGGAGCAAGCAGATGCAGAGGGACAGAGGAAAACCCTTCACTGTGCTTAGACTGTCCCCTATTTTGTTTCTGGCTGCAGTTACTCACAGACTGTGCACAAACACAGATGCATTTCATTGCACCCAAATCAGAACCTTTTAGGAAAGTTCCCAATGGAAACTACACAACACACACAACTACTATGACTATGACCGAAGTTCCTACATCCAGGGGAGACCTCTAAGCAGGATGGGAGGCAGTGTGCTGGGGTATCTGGTCAAGGTGAAACAGAAGGGCTGTGAACTGACAGAGTCAACAGGAGGCACTAGGCATACATGGTGGAGGACCTCATAGCTGTAAGTGTGGGGAGCAGGGACAGGCAAGTTCCCTCCAGACACTGCCCTTCAGTTGGCTTGGTGTTCATGCATCCTCCCTCTGCAGGGCTGGAACTTAATTCCAGAATGGATTTTGCTGAAGCAATATAGGTGGGCACAGTGACAAAGCACTGTAGTTACAGGTGACAGCCCATCATGACCCTAACAAGGAGCATACTGTCCCAAGGTCAGGAATCACAGAGTCCACCCTGCCATTGGCATGGGCCTGAACAACCTAGCTTGCTAGGCTAGCACCACAGGCTCCAATCAGTCTCCACAGTAGTGCTTGCTGTCTCCCTCCCACAGCTGCCACCTGGGTGCCCTCGCCTGCCCTGGCTGCACCTGTGGGAGTGTTGTGTCCCCATCCACCCAAGAGCATAGAGTCTAGGTATTGATGAAAACAACCATGGGGCCCCAGACTTAAGAACCTTAGCTGCATGACTCACACCTGCAGTACCCGCCCTCCCGCCATCCATCCCTGTGCCATGGAGGGAAGCAGGGAATACCTTTAGTCTTTCCGTCTGTGGCCCCCAGCTTCTTGGTCTCTGCTGTGAGCAACAGCTCATAAGGGTGCTCGTCCTCTTCCCGGGAGACGCCGCTCTGAGTCCTGGGTCTCACAGTCAGGGCCTAGGAGACAGAAACACCCAGGATCCGTTGGCAGAGATGGGTGGTACACAACAAAGCTCCAATTCCCACAACCTTGCAGGGCAGGCCGAAGCAGGGAAGGGAAGGAGAGTCAGGACCCTGTGGACTCCCAGGAGATTTTCTGAGCCTACTGTGCGCTCTGGTGCATTCCCCAAAGGTTACCACACCAGAAGCTTGACGTGCAGTGTGGCGGGGATGGGCCCTGGTGGGTGGGTGGTCCTCAGGACTCCTCTCCTGAGTGGAGTCCTAGCTTATGTGGCACCACAGCAAAAGGCTGTCATCACCCGGCACCCCCTGCTCTTTCCTTGGCCCCACTGGGACGCAGCTGAAGCCCCTGAACCAGAAGCTAACGAACAGATGGAGCCACTTTTTGGTAGCCCACCTGTGAGTCAAATCCTTTTCTTGATAATGTACTTTGACTTGGCAAGAGAAAAGCCAAGAACAATTCCTGTATGGGAAATCTCCACAGTATGACTAAACTTTTTTTTTCCTTTGGCCACATTTTATCCTTAAAAAAAAAAAAATGATAAACTCCAAGCCTCTCCCCCCCCCCCCAGTGTTTCTGTGAGAATACTTTCCTAGCAGTTGTTACCTAGGATGCACCGCAACTGCCCTTTCTCCAGGCTTCCTGACTGCACATTTCCTCCACCTCCAAAGAAAACAAAACACCCTTGCCACTTAAATGGCCTCTCCTTCTTTCCTCCTCTGCTGCTGCAGCCCTGGTAGCCTAGGACTTGCTGTGCACACCAGGCTGATCCTCTGCCTCCGCCTCCCAAGGCCCAGGATTAGAGGCATGAGCCACCACAGCCAGCTTGTGACTATCTTCTTCACAGACTCCCTAAAGCCAGCTTTCTATTGGGTGACTTCAGATGCCTCCAACCGTCTTGAGAGTAGACAACTAGCAATGCGAGTTTCTGTGGGTGAACAGCAGCTCTGTCTACTGAGGTCTTGATTCAAGCAGGTTAAGTGCCTCCCACACGGGAAATGCACCAGCTGCAGGGCTCGGGGTAGGTGAGCATCAGGGGATCCTCAGCTAGTCCTGGCATTAGAGCAAAGTTGGTAAAACCACAGTGCTGGAGACACAGGGAGGGGCTGTGGAGAGCCTCTGCTCATCTGCCCTGGTGCCCATGTGTTTTAAAGGCAAGTCAAGAATGATCACAGATCAGCTACAGCAATCAAGCCAGAGCACAACGCTTCCAGAGCTGTTGGAAGAGATGAGTACAGCCTGGGAGGGAAGTAGGGGTAGCTAGATTTCCACACATACCGAATAGATCAGCAGACCCCACAAGGGAAGCTCCCACCTCAAACAGACACCTCCCACTGTACACTGGAGAAGCACCAGGTTAGTGTCCACCAGAGTCCTCCTTTGTGGGGACAGCTCACAAGTCGTCCTGAAGAGAGAACTGCACCCCCAGTCTCAGACAGAAGGAGATGTCTATTTATTAGCCACTCACGGCAGAACAATGGGCTCACTCTAAAACTGCTGAGCACAGCAGGTACCACACCATGCAAGTCACCTGGATGCTAAAGACGCCTTTACTCTGGGAGCCCTGTTTTTATAGGAACACAATTAAGGGACCATTAAGTAGTTCACACCGTGTCAATTTAACACCACAGGTGTCACTGGCAGGAATTTACGCTCTGCAGGTTTTCACCCATATGATCCCTCAGGCAGAGCCCTGGAAATCCAATTCCCAGTATGTTTGCCTCAGCAAGACTTCTCACCAGGCCCAGGCATGCTTCCCTGGAAGGTAACCACAGCCCTGAAGCCTGGCCTATAATCCAGGGCAGGACAGAAGACTTCAGTGGCAAATGAGTCCCCCAGGGAGGGCAAATGTGAGCCAAGTTCACCAACCACAACTAGGGTCCTGGGTCTAGCCATTTCACCTGTAAACCCAGAGGGGGTCAGGGACCTGTCCAAGGTTATGCAAAGTTCACAGCAGAGCTGCAGTCATTAAATGCAGTTTCTCGGATTCTAATCCAGATTGGCCTCATTTTTCTCCATCCAATTTGGACCACCTTCCCTTCTTCAATTACATAATGAAAGCCCAATAAACGAGGGTGTTCATTTCCTCTTGTTCTGACCCTGACCAAACTAGGAGATTAAACCTTCACAGTCAACAATAAACTTTTCTTCCAGACATCCTTGCTCCCACAGAAGCGGCACTGTGTCACAGTGACTATGGCAATAACCGATTTTCAAAAGAAAGGATTCCATTTTTAACTAAATTACTTCTTAATCTTCTTTCCCTTGTCCTCCGGGGCTGGCAATGGCTCAAAGCTCAAGAGTCTCTGTGGAGAGCAGCACTGCTTGGGCACAGAGGGTTGCAAGGAGCCAGCTGTCACCCAGCTGTGGCTTGGAGAATCCACAGGGGTGTGGGTGGCTGAGAAGCCTTGACACAGAGGATACCATGGCCAGCCCATGGCAGCTGGCAGTTCATCATGAGGAGTAAAAACCTTGTGTGTGTGTGTGTATCTGTGTGTAGCGTGTGTGCGTGCACGCACACCTGTGCATGTGTGTGATGTCTCATGCCTGGCATCATGATAAGCTCTCCAAAGTCAAATCCTTGACCACGTGACTGACAGACGCACAGCCCTAGATCTGGCTGGTCATAAAGCCTTCCTTAGCACCAGAGACTGCTGTGTTCAATCCTCCCAGTGCTGTAAACAAAGCAAAATGGCCTAAAGTTTCTTGACATCAGTGTCTCGGTGTGAAGTTTCGCTTCAAAGCTTTGAGCGAGCTGGAAACAAAGACAGTGGGGTGGGTTGTGGTCCTCGCTGCTCTGGCAAAGGATCAGAGTGTAAGTCCCAGCACTCACAGTGGGCTGCTCATGAGCATCTGAAACTCCAGTTCCAGGGGATCTGATGCTTCTGCAGCCTCTCAGGATCCCAGGCACACTTGTGACTCACAGACAGACAGACAGACAGACACATATGCCAGAAAAAATACCATAAACATAAAATAATAAAAAAGTCCTATAAATAAATAAATTAAAAAAAAATAAAAAAATCTTGTCTGGATCATTAAGAGAACAATGACTCAGGCCATGTTTCCTCTATATTTATGCATCCATAGTAACAGCAAATAGGAAAGTTCAGGGCTGTCACTGTCATGGTCTTCCAAACATCAACTACACTGGTTCAACTGATTTAGAATTCCAGGCTATTATGAAACACTTTCAAAGGATGAATCTCACATCACATACAGACATCCCACCAAGCAAGATGGCCCAGCAGGCAGAGCTGCTGCCTCTACAACCTGTGCTCAGTCCCCTGGACAACATAACGGGAGGAAAAAACCCTGTCCTCTGAACACATGCGCACGCGCACACACAAACACACACACACACACACACACACACACACACACTGTAACATAATAAAAAAATTCTATTTTGTTTTTCAAGACAGGGTTTCTCTGTAGCTACGGAGCCTGTACTGGAACTTTCTCTGTAGACCAGGCTGGCCTCAAACTCAGAGATCCATCTGCATCTGCCTCCCGAGTGCTGGGACTATAGTCGTGTGCCACCACCTTCTGGCCATAAAAACATTTTTTAAAAACGTAGACTATAGTCAAACATAGTGGCACTGACATTTAATCCCAGCACCCAGGAGGCAGAGGCAGGTGGATCTCTGTGAATTCGAGGCCAGTCTGGTCTACAGAATGAGTTTCAGGACATCCAGGGATACTCAGTGAGAAAATGTCTTGAAAAAAGAAGGTAGACTGTTATAAATAACCACCTCTTTCCTTCTCACCCTCCCGTATACCTCCTATATATTTTTTATTTAATTTTATAAACTTGATTATTTAATAAACTTGCAAATAAAATATCATGTAGCAAAAGTAACCAGACCAAAGTCCTATCTTTTCCAGCTGTCAACTCTAACTTGATTCGTGTTTATATATAGTCTTCACAGGAAGTAGTGAAAGGGTAAAAACAGAAAGGAGGCCTCTGGGGCCCAGCCACCAAACTTCATAACATGGTACTGTTCATACAATGGCAAGGACAAGGGTACTTGGAACCTTGTGTCAAACACAGGGTAAAGGCAAAGAGTCGAACTGTTCAGCTGGGGCACCCAGACAACAGCCGGTTATGCTTCCCATATGGCCGGTATGCTAATGCTGCACCAGAACTCTTAGTCTGAAAAGCCTTGATCCAGATACCCACACAGGGACACCACGAGAAGATAAGGAGTCAAGGCTGGTGATAAGGCCAGGGGGTAAGAGTGCTTGCTCTGCAAGCATTAGGACCTGAGTTGGAATCTCCAGCACCCACATAGACAGTGTGGCATAGCTGTGTGTGCCTGTTACATGTAGGGCACATGTACCTATACACTCATGTATAAGCCTCACACTCACACACAAATACAACGATGATCTCTCCACAAAAGAAAATAGGCTGGGGAAACGGGTGAGGGACAGAGTGCTTGCTTGGCATACACAAGGCTCTGGATTCTATGCACAGGGGCTGGAGAGACAGCTCAGCAGTTAAGAGCACTCACTGCTCTTTGAGGGGACCCAGACTCAAATCCCTGCACCGATATGGTGTCTCATACCTACCTGTAACTCCAGTTCCCGGGGATCTGATGCCCTCATCCTACCCCCACGGGCACCAGCATATAAATCTACACATGCACATACAAAAAAAAAAAAATCTTAAAGAAAAGAAGCAGGAGAGAACAAAGCCTCCTTTGAGCTCACACAGCTACCATCTAACAAATGCTAGGTCAGTGATGGGGTGACCCCAACCCTCTACCTCAGAGGCTGTCAAGGGCAAATACTTCTTATCTACGCGTTCTTCCTCCTCTTCATCAGGTGGTGGCTTTGCTGGAGGCGGTGGACGTTCCCTCTGCAGAAGAAAAATAAATATTCTACCATCTCTCCTTTTCAAGTATGTAACTTTTTGACTTACCCTTATTTTAGTCCTTGGAAATAAAAAGAATTACGTAGGGAGCTGGAGAGATGGCTCAGTGGTTAAGAGCATTGCCTGCTCTTCCAAAGGTCTTGAGTTCAATTCCCAGCAACCATATGGTGGTTCACAACCATTTGTAATGAGATCTGGTGACCTCTCTGGCCTGCAGGCAGATATTGTATGCATAAAAAATGAATAAATATTTAAAAAAAAAAAGAATTACGTAGAGAATTCCTCAGGAGCCCTAAGTTAAGGTCCAGTCTCTGAGCAGAAGCAGGACCCCACACACAGACACAGTTCGATCAGCTGCACTACGGTTTCTGACATCTGCAGCAAAGACCACACACACCTCCTTCCTGGCTGCACGGGGACCGCAGGGAAAGCTCACAACCGCCCCACTGGCACAAACACTACACGTGACAGACACAAAAAACTGACAGCAAAACGCAGGGCTCAACTTTCAGCCTATGCTGAAAAGAAGAAACCTGAGACCAAAGACGCAGTTCCAGAGCTCTTCTAAAGCCAGGACTCCCGGGGAAGCAACGGGAAAAGCAGCTAAAGACGGAACATTCGTCCTTGCTCAAACTCCAATGCTGTGATACTGGTCACCCCTACTCAGGAGGGAAAAAATTCCACACCAACCTCTCTCAATCTCTCTCTCTCTCTCTCTCTCTCTCTCTTTCTCTCTCTCTCTCTCTCTCTCTCTCTCTCTCCCTTCTTCCCTCCCTCCCTCCCTCCCTCCTTCCCTCCCTATGTCCAGACATGACAAAACCAGACATGGTTTCTCTGAATAGTCCTGGCTGTCCTGGAACTCACTTTGTAGACCAGGCTGGCCTCGAACTCACAGAGATCTGCTGCCTCTGTCTCCCAAGTGCTGGGATTAAAGGTGTGCGCCACTACTGCCCAGCCCACACCAATCTCTTAGAATCTGTAGTTTCAGCTAGTCAGGGGACCGAGGCAGGAGGATCACCCAAGCCCAAGAGTTTGAGGTTACCCTCAACTCAAAATAAAACAAAACAATAAATTGGGGGTTTTGGTTTTACTTTTTTTGAGAGAGGGTCTTACTATGTTTTTCTGAGACAGGGTCTCATGGAACTTATTATGCAGATCAGATTGGCGTCACAGAAACCCTCCTGCTTTTGAGTCTGGGTGCTGGGATTAACAGTATGGCGTGTGCTACCACGCCCAGCACGTCTCTTGTTTTCAGTCACCCCTTCAATAATAACATATAGTTACAGGGAACCCTGTGAGCCGCCCCTGCTCATTTACACAGGAGCATGAGCACCAGTCTTTTTTGTTGTTGTTATTTTGTTTTTTGAGACAGGGTTTCTCTGTGTAACAGTCTTAGCTGTCCTGGAATAGCTCTTGTATACCTCTTGTAGACCAGAGGCTGGGTAACCGAACAAGAACGGCTACAGCACACGCAGGCACACATGCCAAAGCACGCATTCCAAGATGCTCTGGCTTTTGCTTAGCACAACCAGCAGAGGCTGGCCTTCAAAGGTTATTCAGCTCTCTTCAGGACGTGTGGCTTCTAGCAAAGGCACTAGCGCCCCCTACTGGGAGACACCTGTAAGCACCACTTAAAGCAAAGCCTTCTCATACAGGTTAGATACCAATAGGGAAGAGAAATGCCATGCTTGGCAAATGCACTTCCGCCACTCACCAGAGTGCAGAGTACACGACAGTTCCTACTCTGCTAGGCTGCCACACTAGAGGGCTGACTGAAACCCGCACTCAAACACTGCCACGGCATCAGGTCAAGCAGACCACCAACAAAGAATACTCCATGAAGTTCTAGGCCTTTCCGAGGCCACAGTTAGAAAGGTCAAGGATGACTATGTCCATCAGAGCTGGGCCAGAAGGGAAGGCCAACGGGAGAATACCCCACATATGCCCTCACATCTGTCTCTAGGTGGTTAGCCAGCTAGGTCAGACAACCACCAGAGTATAGAAACTCAGATGGATAACAATGTGCGGAGATGGAAAGAAAGTGGGGACAGGGCTGCAGACGAGGCATCCTGACTCTGGGGGAGAAGGGGAGTCAGGAGTCTGGAGGCCCATGGACAAAGCAGTACCAAGACAAGAGGGGCTGACCACAGAGAAACACAGTGCCGCTTTCATGAAATGGGGCCAATAAAGAATCAACCAGCAGACATACTGTCTAATAAGAGCACACACTGTCCGATTAAGTCTTGCTATGCCCTCCCCCTGGGGCAGGACCACCCCGTCTACATGGCTGGTAGGGCAAGCAGGGCTTGGAACAGTAATTCCTGTCACTGGGGAGTCCTGTTCTCCAGAGAGAACAAACCATGAGCCCAAAGGCTTGAACAGCATCAAGGCTAAACCAGAACAGAAGACATGGATGTCTGCGAAGGCAGTGGGGGTGGAGAGATGCAAACTGGCTACACAGACGGAGCCTGAAAAAGCAAACTTCTACCTCAGTATGAGCTGTAGTTTTACCACATGAACACGAGCCGGCACCAGACGTCCTCTTGCCAGCACCCACAGCTACCACTACCACCCCCGGAGGCTCAGGCCTGGGTCACGTACAGGCCTGACTCCAGCAGTTCTTGCTCCTGTGGCCTCGGTCTCCTTGTTCACAGAATCTCGGTCAGACGATCGCCCACTGGCCGTGCTGTCCAAGGAGTGACAGGACACAGCATTGTACAGTGCCTCGTAGGGACCCTCCTCCTCAGCATGCGTGTCAAAATCAATAATCAGTTCAGTGACTGCTTTCTCCACGTTGCCTGGAGAAGACAGAGAACACGATCATTAGCAAGCAGGGGCAGAGCCTTGGGTTCTGGACACTCCAGCCGAACCGCAATGAACACTAACCCTCAGGGAACACGATCACTTTGATAAGGACGAGGACTGATTTTCTCTGATTCAATACAGGGAGTGCAGCATAGTGGTAGTACTCAGCTTAGCATGCACATAAGCCCTGGGTCCAATTCCCAACAAAAAAGAAACTACTTTAAATATGTAATTCATATGTTTTTTTGTAAGCATTCCAATGTCTCAATACCATGTAAATGCCAATTTAACTTGAAAATGTAGCAATGTGTAACTGAAAATTAAAATGGTTTAAATTATAGTTGATTTCTTTTGGGGGGGGGGCAGAGTTTCTTTGTGTAGCTTTGGTTGTCCTGGAACTCACTTTGAAGACCAGGCTATCCTCAAATGCACAGATATTTACCTGCCTTCTGAACTCACTATGGAGACAAGGCTGTCCTTGAACTCAGAGATCCACCTGCCTCTGCTTCCCAAGTGCTGGGATTAAAGGTGTGCACCATGCTCTGGGTTTTGTGTTTGAACATGGAGCCCACTTTAAGTGATTCAATGAAAGCTACAAACACTCAGAGGAAAGCAAAGCCTTTCTGAGACAAGGAGCTATATGACTTAATGCTGTCTCCTCAGCACTGTTAGAAATGGCATCCCGAGTAGCTTGTAATAGTCACAAATACCAGTGTGAGCTCAGTGAATGATTGATCCCACTGCTAGCAGATTCCAAAATCAAGAAAAAGTTTGGAGTGGGGGGGCTGAGTAACCCAGCAAAGACATGCCGGGAGTCCAAAGCCCACCCACTTCCGCTCTGTTCCACTCCTCCCCTTTCAGTGTTGCTTTACTGTTTATTACATCTACATTTAGGGGAAGTTGTCAATCAGCAGTTATTTGTCTTTGTCTTTCATCATACCACAAGCTACTCAGCAAACCAGAAAGGATTCTATTGTGGAATATTATTTTAAGATGTGTTATATTTGTCTCTGCTGTAAAACATGTTTAACGATGCAAAGATGTGTTGCATTCTTTTATGTTGCATTTGTTTAACTCTGTAAAGTTGTGTTACTTTGCTTGTCTATAACACCTGATTGGTCTAATAAAGAGCTGAACAGGCCGGGCCTGGTGGCGCATACCTTTAATCCCAAGGCAGAGGCAGAGAAAAAAAAAGATATATAGAATAAAGAAAGGTAGAAAGCCCCGAAGCAAAATGTAAAGAGAAACAGGATTAGTTAGAAAAGCTGGCTAGAGACAAGCCAAGCTAAGGCTGGGCATTCATAAGTAAGAATACGTCTCTGTTTATTTATTTGGAAGCAGGGTGGTGGACCACCAAAGAGTAAAAAAAAAAAAAATCAACTACATTTTGGCATACCAACGTGAGAACATGAGGCTCAAATACCTAGGGCCTCAGAAAGCTGAAAAAGAAAGGAAGGGGATATGGCTCCTTTAAGGAACTCTGCTAGCCAGGCAGTAAGTGGCACACACCTTTAATCCTAGCACTTGGGAAGCAGAAGCACAGAATGAAGTCCATGAAGTCCAAGACAGCTAAAACTGTTACACAAAGAAATCCTGTCTTGAAAAACCAAAAAAAAAAAAAAAAGAAAGAAAGAAAGAAGGAAGGAAGGAAGGAAGGAAGGAAGGAAGGAAGGAAGGAATCCTGCCGCACAGCAGAGCACTTAAACAGCCTTTTTCACTCTAAGTAAAACAAAAAGCTAAATACAAAGCACGTGCCACAGTGCAGAGCACTGGCACAGAGCTGGGGCCTAAATGCAGTTCTCAGTCACCTACCTCTGCCCAGGCCCAAGGCTTGGCTCTCAAAGACCAGCGGTGTGGGCAGAGCCCGTCGACAAAGCTGTGGCAGAGGTCCTAGGCATGCCACTTAGCAATTTAAAGGCTCACACGGTCAGAAAAGGACAGAGATGCACAGTAAAGACGGATTCAGACGGGAAAAACCTCTAAACAGGTTACGGTGTGTTTAACAATGTGCATAGGCTTCAAGAAAAGAGAAAGGGTACAGACGTCACAGAAAAAGAGCAAATAGTTTAAAGTTTTTAGGAAGAGAAGTAGAGTAATATGAAAAATAATAAGCCGCAGAGACGGAAACACACAGGGAGCCTGCATCTTGGATGCTGCTGCACTGACCTTGCATGGATTGAAAGAGGGACTGCTGGAATGAACGAGCCCATATAGATAAAGAATGCCTTCATTATAAATGCACTGCCTGGGAAAAGAGGTGGGTGTGGGTAGATTTTGGCTATTTAGTGGGTTATAGATGTTGGTTATCATTTAGAAGAATATAAGAATACAGGATAAAAAGACAACTATGAGTCTCAGATATTTTGCACTGGCATAGATTTTGGTATATTGATACAAATCTAAAGTTATTTTTGTTATGCTGCATATTTCTACTCTTCTTTGGGGTATTCTGTTTGTAGTTCATTTTAAAATACAATGGATAACTAAGAAATGAGGTTAGCTCAGCACTTGGGAGTCAGAGACAGGTGGATCTCATAGTTTGAGGCTACTCTAGAATTCCAGGACAGGTTCCAAAGCTACAGAGAAACCCAGTGTTGGGAAAAGAAAAAAAGAAAGAAAGAAAAAATAAAAAGAAATGAAGTTAGAAGTTAAACTATAATAATCAAACTTGTAGTCACATTAGGTATGTTTTCAAGGTAAAATGGGTATATTTTAGGCAGATAGGTGAATTTCAAACACTTCAGAGACCTACAGAATATGGTATTTAACATATTTAAGACCTAAGGATTTTCATGACAATGAGACACATCTGCTCCTGGCAGCACCAATTTACTTCATAAAAGGATGATGGGCATCAAAGAAACTCCATATGGAGTTTGCTTTCAATGTGACAAGGCTAGCCATTTGGGTAAGAAACTGCTCTTGCCTTGACTGCTGACATTATGGCCTATGACTGTTGAACTTTGTTAGGACAAGGTAGGACAGTCCTTTGAGATTCCTGCTTCACAGATGAGTCTGCCAGACATTGTGCAGGACAGAGCAGAAAGCGAACACTGAACTGTGATAATACAAGGGACAGTCCTTCAAATTTCCTGCTTCATTGTAGGACAAAGATGGATGCCCCATTGCAGAAGAACTTTGGGTGACTATTCAGGCAGCCAGATATCGCTGTTGTTAGGTAATATTACATCCTTCTGGAATCTTTGATGGAGATTATATAGTTATAATTGCAGTTTTCCTTAGTTATGACAGAAAGTAAATTAGGTATAAAACTTTGGAATCACTAAGATAGATAATGAAGTATTTTTTTCTGAATCTGATAAATACAAATGGACTCTGTAAATGTAATTCTTACTTGATAGCTGTTTTTGTTGTATACAGTTTTACTATGTTAAAGTTGAAACTTTACATTTTTGTTTAGACAAAAATGTGTTAAGACGTGTTACATTTGTTTCTGCTGTGGAATATTTGTTTAATGATGCAAAGATGTGTTACAGTATTTTATGTTGCATTTGTTTAACTCTGTAACGCTGTGTTACTTTCCCTATTTGAAACACCTGATTGGTCTAATAAAGAGCTGAACAGTCAATAGCTAGGCAGGAGGGAGAAAGATGGGGCTGGCAGGCAGAGATTATAAACAGGAGGAGAAATCCAGGCTGGAGAGTAGGGGGAGGATCAAGAAAAGGATGAGAGAAGAACACCAGTGACTAGCCACACAGCCACACAGCCAGCCACATTATAGGAAGAATAAAAAAAGGTAAAACCCCAGAGGCAAAGTGTAGTTAAAGAGAAACGGGAAAAGCTGGATAGAAACAAGCCAAGCTAAGGCTGGGCATTCATAGTAAGAATAAGTCTCTGTGTACTTATTCGGGAGCTGGGTGGTGGGCTCCCAAAGAGTTTGATTTATTGCCACAATTGCCATGTGCACAAGGACTAGCCAGCAGACCCTCACTGGACCAACAGTTCCCAAAGCGCTGCCATGTGTTTTAGGATAGAAAGCAACAGCAAACACAAGTTCTAAGTTGATCTTGAGATGACTCTGCCAATTACACATCCCTACAGAAGTACAGGCCAAAATAAAGCAGACATGGAGCTGGAGAAATGGCTCAGAGGTTAAGAGCACTTAGTGTTCTTGTAAAGAACCCAGGCTTAGCTCCAAGCACCCACATGGCAGTTTACAGTCATCTATAAAACCCAACACTCTCTTCTGACCCTTATGAGCTCCTGTATGAATGCATGCATGCAGTGAACATAAACACACCTGGCCACATGCAATATATATATTTATATTTATGTTATAGTAATAAATATAAAAACTATATTTATATACAAGTAATATATTTTATTTATATTCTATATTTTATATTTATATATGAATATTTTATTTTTCTATTTTATAATAGTTTTTATATATCATATTATATTTATAAAAATATAAAATATGTTTATAGATATAAATAAAATGTTGGGAAGTATTATTTTACGGTGTGAGAGTTTTGTTTATGTTATGTTTGTTTAACTGTGAAGCTGTGGTTCTTTGCCTGTCTAAAACACCTGATGGTTCTAAAAAGCAGCTGAATGGCCAATAACATGGCAGGAGCAAGGACCAGCGGGGCTGGCAGGCAGAGAGATTTAACAGAAGGAGACCGAGGAAGAGAGGAGCAATGAGAGCCCAAGGAAGAATGTCAACAGTCAGCCGCCCAACCATCTAGTCAGCCGCGGAGTAAGAGTTAAAGGAAGAGATACAGAAGTAAGAAAAGAAAAAAGCCCAGAGGCAAAAAGTAGTCAGGATAATTTAAGTTAGAAAAGCTGGCAAGAAACAAGCCAAGCTAAAACTGGACATTTGTAACAAAGAATAAGTTTCCATGTGTGATGGGCCCCACAAGAGTCCAGAAAGTTAGAATAAAAATCACTACATATATATATGTGTGTGTGTGTATCCACACACACACACACACACACATGTATATACACACATATATATGTATATTGCATGTATGTATGTATATACGTATATATGTGTGTATTTTATATATATAAAAGTTATATGTATATAACTTTTGTTCTGTTTTTTAAATTTAAAGACAGGGTCTTACTGTGTAGCCTGGTTAGCCTGGACCTCGCTATGTAGACTAGGCTGGTTTTGAACTCACAGAGAGCTTCCCGCCTCTGTCTTTCAAGTGCTGGGGTTAAGGCCTGGATTAATTAACACAACTTATTTTAATGAAAATGGAAAAGTAGAACAAATGATATCCATACCAAAATTTGCATCATGCCTGCTAAGACTTCAGGAGCAGGGAGACAACCGAACTGAGTAAGTACTAATAACACCCTGCAATTATCTGAATGTAGAACTTTCCATTCTACCCAAGAGTGACTGGCTCTCCTCAGGCTACCCCTCGTTCCTGGCTGAGGAGAAGCGCCTCACCCTGAGACTTTGGTGCCGTGGTGTCCGTGCTGGAGAGGAGAGGTAGCTGAGCTGTGGTGCTCTTCTTCTCTTCTTCTTTCACGCTTCTTTTTCCAGTCATGTGGTCTGTAAGGAAAGATGGTTTAAAAAATAAAGTGAGCGGCTGCACCACGCACAGTGCAGGTCAGCGGTCCCTGGCCCCAGAGCATGCAGCCCGTACCTTCTATCAGGGCTGCTATCTGCTGGCTCTTCTGCGAAGGCAGGTCGCGCACAGTGTCGAGGGCAGTCAGTCCGCGGCTGTCCTTTATGTTAACATCGATTCCTGGGAGGACAGCAGGTGGGCCAGGGAAGTGAGCATTTCAGGGAGGCCCAAGGACTCGCGCGGCTCTCAAGTAGCTCGACCGGCATTCTTCACCCACAGCCAACAGCCCAGCGCTCCAGGACCAAGTCACACAGCTCTAACCACACACAGACGCTGGGCTCAAACACCGCCCGGCACACAGGATCAGCACTGCCAACCTCACCTGCAGCCAGCAGAATTTGCACCACATCGGTCTTGCCAAACAAAGCAGCCTCATGCAAAGCGCTGCCCATCTCCGTCTGGAAGGCAAACAAGAGCGCAGCAGCACGTCATGAGAACAGTTGGTGTGTCACGTGACAAACGGGACACGGGTAAGGAGGGGTGGCAATCGAGCTACACAGGGCCCTCTGGGGCTTCAGCTTTCCAACATTTCTTGTATGGGTTCTAAAAAATCCACACAGCAAGACCACTTGGGTGCCATCTCAGGCCACGTGCATGAGTCCCCACTGCTTGTAGGGATGCTGACTCCTAAAACTTGACTGAGCTCCACTTTTCTGAGAAGAGGGAATAAAAGCACCTCACGGCCCACAAGGAAAGTCAACACCAAGCTCACGGAAGTACTGGCTGAGAGAAGCTTGCCATCACAGAGGAGTGCCAAGTTATGTTGGCAGTTGAAGCTTTGGCAGTGCAAAAAAGGTGGCGGGGGTAGGAGGTGGGGGCCATGTATGGGAAGGCAATGAACCCTTCTGGTTTGAGATGGCCCACAAGCACTTCTTTTCAGGGGTTCAAGACTGTATCTCACACCCTGAAAAGAAACAAGCAAAACCACCAGACTCACTCCACAAAGCTCTAAGATGTCACAGCAGAATAGTGACAAACGGAAGCACGTGAGTGTGATGTGAAACGTGCTGAGCACACACACAGCCCGGCGGCATCGTCCCTGTGCCAGGAGAGGTGCCCGCCTTGCTACCTGGTAGTTGCTATCCATGCCGGCGTCCAGCAGGACCTGCACCACGGCCTTGTGGCCATTCCTCGCGGCCAAGTGTAAGGGGGTGTGCTTCCTGGTGCTGCAGCTCAGGAGGTTGGGGTGCGCGCTCAGCAGCATCTTCACCACCTCCAGCCGCCCATAGAGCGCTGCCAAGTCCAGAGGTGTTTCGAACTTGTTGTTGCGCATGGTGGGGTCTGTGAGCTCCTCCAACAGAGCCTTCACGACCTCCGTGTGGCCGTACTGTGCTGCACAGTGCAGGGCAGTCTCGTTGTCATTGTTCTGAGGGTTAACAAGCACAGCATATCAGAAAGGGGTGGGGTAGGGGACCAACATCTGCCTGTATAATCACCCATAAAAACCACTGAAATTTAAATGAAAAAAAAAATAGCAGCAATACTTGGAAACTTACAGGAGTCGGAATCCAGTCACCGCCCCCAACAATCAAGCCTGATTGCTACCATAGGCCACATCTGCCCTCAGTCCCTGCAGGAGGGGAGCATTCTCTGAACATTTGCAATCTCTGTATGCCATTAAGGGCGCATCTCCATACTGAATGCGAGGGAACAAGAAAATTTGGCAGGCGTTTGGTAGACGGCCTGGCACGCATGTACTGCTGCCATTGTTTCATTTAAACTTCAACTGGTTTAACAAGCATTTCTTTGATCGACCCTGTGGTTCTGATTCTGGGTTTATCCACCATCCACAGCCTTCCACACAGTTTTTTAAAAGGAGGTTGTCATCTGTGTCTGGCATGCAAATCAATCAGCCAGCAGAGAGAGTAACAGAGCAGAGCACCGCAGACCACTCTCGAGATAGCAGTGGGCAGCCATTTCTGAGGAAGGCATAGGCTAGGCATGAGAGAAATCGAGACCCTATCCTGCCCTCATGACGGCTGCAGAAGGGCACATGAGGCAATTCCCATGGCTTCTGCTGCATGAGAAAGTGAGCACGCTGGAGAAGCCTTCTCACGCAGAAAGGGACAGGCCCTAGACACTTGGTGTGAGGGGAGCAGAATATTCCACTGCAACACTGCCCTCTATGCAACTTGCAGTCTGAATGCTTCTGGTGCCAATCTTGTCTCAAGGACAAAGGCTGGGGTGAAAGTGGGGAGCACTGTGTTTTCCCAGCTGTCAAAAGTAAGATGTAAATCATGCCGATTAAGCCCTTTGCAAGATGGATGACATATACTGGAGGAGAAAGGCTCTCACACGTCTCAGAGTCCTCAGTTTACCCAGGAAGCTTCTGCTACTTTGGGGAAGACAGGGCTTGAGAGGGCCTGTCCTGAGTCGATAGTGTGCACCTTTCAGCTGCCAGAAGTTAACAATTAACTACGTCTACGGTTGTTTCAATTCTGTTAGTGACGTTAAAAGGAACAGATGAAGAGTTACCCAAACATGCATCAATTCCATCTGCTTTTGACTGCATCAGGGTTTTGTTTTTTGTTTTCTTTTGATGGTTTTTTTCCCCTGGTTGTTGTTTTGTTGGTTTTTTTCTCAGCTACATAAAAATGGATGAGAAAGTTCCCAGGCTGCTGAGACCAAGACCCCAAGCGGCCAGAGTGACAGCAAAGAAATGTTTTAAACGAAAACAAAGACAGAAAAGGTGGCAGCAGGGGCACATGCAGAGATAAAAACATGTAAATAAGATGCAGAGGACAGTGCCAGAGGGCAGCACAGCTTGGCAAAAGCAGCTTTCAGTGGCCACTGGGCATGCCCACCTCCTACCAAGCTAGGGCCCAAGGCCCCCCAAGCAAACTCAGGGCTGTCACTTTGCTTCCTGGTGACAAAACACAGCTACTTCAACAGAGCTCATGGGAGCTTTCTGGAACATGCCACCCAAAGAAGTTTAAGAAAAGTCTCTAAGTTTTCTACCTCAACTTTTGCATGCCAATCAGGGCCAAAAAGTCGGCTTATTCTCAATAAAACTCCACCAGTAAAACTTAATGACTTTGAGACAAATCATGGCCATGGTGCCTCCTAACATCCAGGATTACATGTCCTAGACTTTGTAAAACATGTGACTTAGGGAGACTGAAAAATTGTGCAACTCTAAAGACAAAACTATCCAGCAAGGGAGGAAGGGGAAAAGGAGGGAGGGGGAGGGAAGAGGGGGGACAGAGATATAAAGATGTGCTAGAAATGTAGCTCAGTGGTAGAAAAGTGCTCAGCGCTCACAGGGCCCTGGGTTTAGTCCCTAATGGATCCTACCAAAACGGCAAACATAGCGAGTGCTTTTTACGTTTTCTCTGGCCTCTTTGCTGGTTTTTGCTAGAAAGATGACAGCTGTTCCAAAGTTGCCCTGCTAAGGTACAATTGTGGTCAGCCCTGGCACATCGCCTGCCTGGTGCTAAACACCACCTAACCACACACCTCACTGGCACAGTGTGGAAGCATCTGAGAGTGTATTGGCTTTGCCAGATATGAGCTGGTAGTTAGCTTCCTTGAGCTTGTTGTGGTGACCATGTCACCATGACTGATCACATGCTCTCCTGGTTTCTACTTGGAGCCAAGGGCTGTCAGGCTAAGGAGTCGTCTGATTCATGGACCCTCAAGAGGGGCAGGGATCCCTTGGAGAGTACAGATTCAGGTCGCAGTCATGGGGCGTACTTCCCTTTCACATCTTCTGAACAACACTACACTCACCACCTTACTCTGAACTGGGGGAAGGTTGCACAGCCCAAGCTAGCCTTGAACTTGATGCTAAACCCTTTTACTCACCCTCCAGCCCCACTCATCTTGAGATTAAGTTTTCCCTGCTACAGTCAATAGGTCTAAGAAAACAGGGGTCTACTCTTCTTTGCAGATTCCACTGAACTTCGGATCCCGTGTGTAACTCACAAATAGATACATTCATATGTGCATAGAGAAAATCATGCAGGAGTTCCACGGGGGAGTATCCCATCATAGTCAGGCTCACGTGTCCCCGTGGACAGAGGCCTGTGGTAAGGAGCCAGAGCTGTAGCCATCTGCAACTGTGCTGCTGGTTCTAGAGACGTAACCAAGAAGAAAGGCAAAGCCATGTGTACAAAATTAACAAGGCGGGAAAGAAAGAGAAGATTGACCCCATGACAGCAAAGAGGAGTTCAACCCCTCCTGGAGCGCAGAACTTGGACCAAAGTGGACAGCAGAAAGACACACCAGTCGGCTGGGAAACTGCAACCAGCAGCCCAGGCACATGAGCCGGGCAGCAGGTAGTTCTGTCTGTTACCAGGAAAACATGGAAAGAAAATGGAAGAGCATCTGTTCAGGTGACAGAGCAAGGATCCCTCCAGGTAGGAAGTTGGCTCAGGAATACATCTCAAAGACTCATCTGGGAACTACATAGAGTTTAAGAATAACCAGGAACTGGCCCAACTTCAGAGTTGGCCAAGAAAGTTGTGAGAGTATAAGGACACATAAAACTATTATTTAAAATTCTGCTGGTATGGTAGGATATACCTATAATCCCAGCACTCAGGAGACTGAGGTAGGAGGATGGAAGACTGTGAGTTCAAGGCCAGCCTGGACCTCACAGCCAGAACTTATCTCAAAACCAGGGCTAAGTGGTTGCCTAGCAGATTCAAGACCCTTCTGAGGTGTACCTTCAAGCCCACTCCCTTGAGGAATGAAACCACCTGCAAGCAGCATTGTTGTTAGGGAGACACAGAGAAAGGCATCACTTCTGTGGAGCCCTGTCCCACACAAGGATCCTGAACCTAACCCACAGTAACAGCTTCATCATGGCTGGCTGGAGGGTGGTAAGAATGACAGGTGGGCAGGGAGGAAGGAGGAAGGGAAGGAAGGGGAAGGGACAAGGTAAGGAGAAAGGACTGAGAGGCACAATATGTATGGACAGCGCATTAGTAGAGTGAATTTTCTGAACTTAGTGACTGCATCAGGGTCTCCTTACTGTCTCCAGACAAGGTCCCACCATGCTCTCTGGCTGGCCTGTCACTCACGAGGGAGCCTGGGCTAGCCTCACCCAGGCTAGCCTCAGACTTTCAGTAACTCTTCTGCCTTAGCCCAAGTGCCAGAATACAGGTGTGCCCCCACCTTGTTCGGTTTTATAAACTTAAAGCCTTTGCTCTCAGATCTTGGGTGAAAATCCAATTAATACAAAACTTAAGGCTTTGGTGTCAAGGCATGAATAACCTAGTCTCAAACACATCACTCGATATGGCCACAGCCACACAGGGAGACAGAAAGGCAAAGGGCGGAATGTCACTGCTGTGCACAAGAAGTGCACACCGCAGCAGAGCCCCGGGCATAGGAAACATCCTAAGCTAAAAGTCCTTCAAATGGAAGGTTCTCCAACAGCTTCTGCGCTTCTGATGCAGTCAAGTCAGGTCCAGTTCAAGGTCCTTCCTGCTCTGGGACGTGGATGGTCAGAAAAACTGGTCTACCACAAAACAAATTTGCCTATGCTGCTTGCTTTGGGACAGCCAGACTAAGGGGAAGCTGTCTTACAAGGGTGCCTGTCTCCCACGGTTCACTGTAGCTACAGTCCATTTTCACTTTTACTGGCTATGATGACTGCTGAAAGGAAAAGTGTTGAAAGGGAACAGGAGAACCTGGGAAATCCACATCTGCTCCTGAGATGGTGCCTGAGACTTCTAAGCTTGTACTCGAGCCAGATAGGATTTAGCATTCACATACGCTTTAGTAAAGCAATTCCTAGCCTTGGGTCAGGCTAACCAACCCCCCTCAAGTCAGGACAAAACCTAGGAGTGTAGGACCTACTGACGCCAGAAGGGTCGGCATCCTCAACACAGATAACCCAGCTCAGTTCTCGGTGCTGTGTGCACACTCATGGAAGAAAGCACAGAGCAGTGCTTCCAGATACAAACGTTCACTGACTCAAATCTTCTGTCCACGAAATAAAAAGCTAGGGAAAGCACTTTTAAGAACCAAAGGTACAGCATTAATTCACGTTTTAGAAGCCAATTCAATCACAGGTGGAAGCAGTCACCTCAGATTCCTCCTCGTCAAACCAAAGCTTGAGCACACTGAGCAATACTTTGCTAACCACTCAGCAGCACTGGAAACAGATCATCTGGTGCCTTTTCAGAACAGCACAGGTAGCCAGGTGTCGTGGCGGGGCACACTTTTAAGCCTAGCACTTGGGAGGTAGAGGCAGAAGGATCTCTGTGAGTTCAAGGCCAGCCTGGTCTACAGCTAGAACTACATAGTGAGACCCTTTTTCCACAAAAAAAAAAAACAAACCCGCAGATTGCACACAGACATTTCAGAACATTTCACGTATTGTTAGTCACCGGATACTTTATGAACATGACTCCAAAACAACCCAACAAGGAAAGTAGTAACAACCCACTTTATAAAAGAGTAAAAAGAGTAAACCAAGGCTCAGAGAAATCCTGGCTTACTGGGGTCAGCAGCAGCCCAGAGCTCAGAGTCAGGCTGGGGAGCAGCCTGGCTGGCAAGTCTCTACTCTAATGCTCTGCCCCTACCTCAACCCCAAAGCTGCTCCAATTTAAGTGTCCCCTATTTGATTCTGAGAACACAGAAAGAATACACCAGAACAGAGTGGATGCACTGACTGCCTCAGTGAAACCATCTGATGAAAGGGACGATGTCCCTGCCTGTCAAGAGCAAACCCTGGAAGCAGAGTATGCTTCCCTTCCCCAGGACAGCTGCATTCTGAGCAAGCACCAAACACCAACCAGGACAATTTTGGTGTCTCGACCAAACTCCAGACTGCACTCAGAAAGCAGTTTTAGAGCTGGAAGGCAGCTCAGGCAGTCGAGGGCTGCCACACAACACAAGGGCACAGCTGAGCTCTCCATAATCCACGGAAAAAGCAGGGCAGGGCAGTATGCATTCCAGCACTGGGAGGTGAATCATGCAGACTCACTGCCAACCAGTCCAGCCAATTAGCAAACTCCAGGTTCAGTGAGAGACCCTGACTCAAAAATAAGGAAGGGAGTGACTAAGGGAGACACTCAACCCTGTGGCATGCGCACATGCACATGCGCGCACACACATATACACACTTACACAGGGGTGGGGGGTTAGAGAGATGAGGGCTGGAGCAGAGACAGAGGAAAGCATGTGCATGCGTACCAACCCAAAATTCATCTGAGTTAGCATGTGAGGACAAGAACCGTACCCACCACCTACTGAGCTCTGCCTCTTTATGGAGAAGTCTCCGGGCATGAGAGCAGCTGGCCAGGTCGGTCTAGCAAAGCACTGTTGCTCCAGGCACCAGGCCAGAGCCCGTCAGGGTCGCAATGACAAAGCAGAAAGAGAAGTGATGCTAGGCAAGGGAATAGAAAGACCCACACAGGGAGAGGACGGCAGCCAGCAACAGCTTCTGAAGGAATGAAGTGCGGCACCTATGTCCCCCACACCACCACTGTGGCCCCAGAATCCTGAAAGAACGTCAGATTCCACTTCAAAAGAAATGCGAGAGCGGAAAGAAAGGAGAAGTCCGCTTCAATCATCCTCTGTGCTTGTTGCTGTCTGCTGGATCTCTTTGCTGAAGCAATACAATATTGCAGGCTTACGCTGAGGTCCCGGTTCCTATTCCTGCTGCTTCAGATGTTCCCAACCTTTCCTGGATTGGATAGTTTGAAAAATGAAGTCTCGGCCCCTGTGTTCCCTAAACAAGCCAAAAGCAGATGGGCTGAGGCAGGCAGCTGGAGGGTGGTGAGGAGCCTGGGCAGGCGGACAGAGGACCACAGCAGAGGCGCAGCATGGAGAAAGAGCATGGACAATATGGGTCCTGGCCGTGATGTACACACCTTGGCATTGATATAAGGGTCAAAGGGGCCGTACTTTTTGAGTTCTCTGATCTCAAGAGCATTCTATAAAAAGGAAGGAAAAGACAATGTGATGATAAAATGGATGAAATATATCAAAGTGACACGCAGCTCTGTGGCTCAGGGCTAAGCGACCTGGATCTGAACTCAGAGTACCTGAGGGAGTTAAAGAGAGGGCAGCTCCACGGATGCTCACTCTTATCCACGCATCTGATGGAGCCACGTTAATGCTTTAAAACCACTGGCATGGTTCTAACTGCCCAGATCCATTCGGTTCTTCCAGCACCTTGGACAGCCTGCCCAGCCCCTGCCTGCAAAGGTCAAGTACTGGGCTGGCACCCCCTACCCTTGCCTACTCCAGCAGGAGGCAGCTGTGAGCAAGACAAGCTACACATCAAGTGGCTCACAAACCCAAGCAGCTGTGTGACAAGGCAAAGTGGGTGGAGACAGGATTAGAAATGATTGCTGCAATTGCTCAAGTGAGAAGGACTTCAATGGGTGGGCAGCTTTTCAACATTGAAGAGTATTAGCTAAAGCAAGCTTCTCTCTGCACTTCCTCCAGAGTCAGGAGAACCGCACTCAGGCTCAAAGAGGCAATCAGACCACTGTCATCTCATGGCATCCACAGGCATCCTCACCAACGGTCTGTCTGCTGCTTACCTATTGGGAAGCCCCGTCCACGAGGAGCCGGCAGGCTGCCGGACCACTGCCAACACCCAGCTCCACATGGAGCACCTGGAACTGATGGCCTCCCTCCTCAGAGCCACACTCTGGCGGCTCTCCGTGGAAAACTGTGTGGGCCTTGCTGACGACTGGGCTTGCCAGACAGTGCCCTAAGTTCTGAGGAAGGACCTGACACTCCACCGAGAAGGAGCAGCACAGTGCACACTGCAGGAGCAGGGACAACACACGGCCCTCCCCGAGGGACCTGCTCCTGGGACCCAAACTACAGAGGTGGGGGTCACAACAGCCTTGGAATGAAGTCTCTCTCCAAGAACAAAGACGCTGTTCTAAGGGTTTAGATGCAGGGGCCTTGTAAGGTTCTGCTGATTCTCTTCTCTCTTTCTTCTTTTCAGATTAGGGTCTCATGCTGTAGTCTAGGCTTACCTGGAACTTCTGAACTTTCTGCCTCAGCCTTTTGAGTGTGGGGATGCAGGCTGTACACCAACCACCACAGCTAGCTTAGGTAATTTTTCCCTCCCTTCCATCCTCCTGTCCTTCCTTTCTTCTTTCCTTCCTCTAGCTGCGTAGCCAAGGATGACCTTGAAACCCTTGATCCTTTGGTCTGCACTTCCCAAGGGCTGAGATTACAGGCAGGTGCTACCAAATTCAGCGAAGTAGTTTCCCCCGAACACTGCCTTTCTGTTTTCTAATAGCTGTGGCTTCTCAAAGTATGCTCACTCTTAAAGCAGCCTTGGAGGAGGACACCAGGGAAATGATCTTCATTCCACCGGCTCACCTCTGACCCGCATCTACATGGTTTCGAGTTGTGAGCTCATCTTTTCAGTACTAGCACAAACATGCCCGCTTCTACACATTCTGATGTGTGTAAAATAACAGGCTAGCTCACAGGCACTGACAAATGCCAGAAACATTGTGCCGCCTGCTGATGGCACAAGCACAGATTGTAATTATGTAATCCCTCGAGTTTGAAACTAACTCTACATCATTTTGAAAGATTTGTGTCAAATTTTATACTGTGAGTCTATCTGTGCATGTGTGAAACTCTACCAAATTCGCATGTGTCAACTGCATATAAAATGCATCCTCTAGGCCTGGTGTGGTGGTGCATGCCTTTGATCCCAGCAGATCTCTACATTTGAGGCCAGCCTGGTCTACTGATAAAGTTCCAGGGCAGCCAGGGCTACACAGAGAGACCCTATCTTGAAAAACAGAAACAAAACAAACAAATCATCCTCCAGAACACAATCTCCCCACTACTCCTGATGAGGGGGTCATGCCTAGAGAAGGAGGAACTATGTCCTGAGCAATGCATGTCTGGGGACTGAATGAGGCGGAGGACAGTCTCTCTCCCGACCTGTTCATTGACTCTGGTGTGCGAGGGCCCTTGGTGGATGAGCAAGCGCACTATCTGGGCGTCTCCTTTCCATGCTGCCAAGTGCAGCGGGTAGCAGCCTTTTGAGTCAGCAACATTGGTCAGCGCATCGTTCCTCAGCAGAACCTCAACCACATCCCTAGAAAGCAAAAATCCACCATGAGCTTATAGAACCAGACGTCTTCCCACGGGTGTCCTGCAGTTCTCTCTGACGTCAGCCTCCTCTTCTGAGCTCACTGCCAGATCTTCTTCTAAAGCCCCACGGCCACTGATGTATCACCGCAAGGAATGATTCACCTTCCCCTGGCCTTCCTTGATAACCCATCTATTTCCCACTACTTTGAAAACATCTGGACTCCTTGTCTAAACTGTGCATCACTCCCCAGTTTGTGGCAGTTAAATAGCGTTCAGCATTGACACAGAAGCAGTCAAACACGGCAGGTGATGTTCCTCACTACCTAGTCCAACACCTTGGGGGTGTGGGAGCTGAATGAGGACAGAGCAAAGTCAATGTCACAGACATAAGTCAGATACACAGAGCATCATCTCATAGCATCAAAAAGGCGACTCTGGCTTTCTTCATGGTGACATTGCTAATAAGGCAGACACAAATGTGTGATTATCCCCAGGCACACAAGGTCAGAGAAAACCCTCCCTGTGACTACACACAGGTCCTGGAGAGCAAACTGCCACCTCTGAGTCGAGAAGTCACATTAATTCAGACTTTCCCAACTTCTTGAGAGGGGTCTCAATATATTTCTTTTCTCTCTTTGTGCATATACCATGTGCCATGAAGCACAGACGGAAGTCAGAGGACAACTTTTGGAAATCACTTCTCTACATCTACCATGGATCCCAGGTATCAAGGTCGGGGCACTGGGCACGCAGCAAGTGCTTTACCCTCTGAACCATCTCACTGGCCACGGGCCAGCTTTAAAGTTGTTTTAGAAAAGAAATGGTGTCCACCTTCAACTTGAGAAGAGTTCAGTGCTGGAGCAAACCATCAAGTGACCACACACTGGCCAGGTGACAGAATCTGCAAAGTGTGTGGGCCTCTTCCTTGCTCGGATACAATGAGTGCTGAGTATCTGGGTTAGCGGCAAAGCATGGGGTCAGCACCAAAGATAAGGAAGGGTGGGAAATTTCAGCGAGTCCCTGGTCCCTGCCACCAGCACTACACCCACACAGCTCTTCTTCCTAGGTAGGACTTGGCTCTGACTCTCAATGCTATCTTTTCTGTCCGCTTTGTGTCTGCTCTTCCACATCTGGGCAAACCCGCCCCACACCCCATGACTGCACCTGCACTGTGGGAGCTCTCAGCTCCCCTGAGTTCATCTTCTCCAGAAAACTTTCCACACATATGCCCCACTCAAGTTCTAATAACCTCCTTAGACTTCTGAGGATTACGTGGGCCATGTACAGAGTTTCCCTCTCTACTAGGAATCAGAGTTCACACGGCTGATCTTACAAGGGAAGAATGGCAGCTATCAGACAGAAAGTCAGCCTCTCATGTCCCACCCCCCCCAAACACTGTGTTCATCAAGAGATGGGTGCCTGTGGGCCAGGATCTTTATGATCTGGCCGTCCTGAGTCTGGTCTTCACAGTCACCACCGTTGTGTGAATACTCCAGACAGGAAGGGATCATCAGGAGAAAAGGTGAAATTCACTTCTTTCTAAAGATCTTTCTGGGGGTGGGGCAGAAAAGGATGCTTATGTCATTCACTGAAGAGGAACTCAGTATCTGCATGGTCTGTGTGGACTCTGTGTCTCTCTGTCCTCACAGGAGGCAGAGAGACACCTGAGCTGGGCTCTGCAGGGTGGGCAGGGGAGGAGCCCTGGTACTTACCTGTGGCCATTCAGCGCAGCGTGGTGGAGCGGCGTATAGCCAGTGCTGTCTACGCAGTTCACATTCGGCCCCCTCCACATGCTGATAAGGAAAAAGAGAGAGATTTCAAAGTCTGAAGAGCCAGTTCCCTAATGATATAGTAGATCACCAAACCAAAAGCTTCCACAGACTGCTCATGTGGATGGTGGTGCACAGCACCTACTGAGCAAGGAACCTAAGGAGAAGGCCGCAGTGTCAACCCAAGGGCCAGTTCAGCATCCGTTGGCTCACCTGGGTGGCATCATTACTTGGTTTTGATCTTAGGCCTCTGAGGGTTCCCAACTCACAGAGATATCACTCAAACAGCACAAAACCAAGTCACCTAGCCAGACATGGCTGCTGAGCATCACCCTGTTCTGGTGAGTGGAGACAGGAGCTACCTTGGTACAGATCACAGACTAAGACAGCACCCAACAGTGTCAGAAATGCATGAGGGTACTTGAGTTAACACAAACCAGACTGTGTCCCCTTCCTTCAAAAAGACAGTTGGCTGAGGGGACAGCTGGTTCTGAATTCACAGGTTCAACTACAATGGGCTGAAACAGGCATTAAAAATATACCTCTACTGAACATACCCAGTCCCCTTTCTTATCGTTATAACCCAAACGATACAGTCTAAAACCTGCTTGCACAAGGCTGGAAGTGGTGGCCCATGCCTTTGATGCCAGCACTCCAGAGGCAAGTGGATCTCTGTGAGTTTCAGAACAGCCAGAGCTACACAGTAATCTGTCACAAAAAAAAAAAAAAAAAAAAAAAGCCGTTTGTATAGCAGTCAAGAGCACGTGGATGTGTGTGGATAAAGTCCCATGGATACAGCCATTTCACACGAAGGATTACTGGAGTCAGCCTCCTGTGGATGCTTATAAGCCACGACATCTTATCTGTGGATGTCTGTGTATCCACTGACAATCTATCGCTGGAGAGTCGCATCTCCCCGAGAAACACCGCATGGGAAACAATGTCACCTCCTTCAACTCTCAAAGCCCTAATTCCAACTTGTCTCCCATCTCCTAGCACAGGCCAGAGCCTCAAACGTCAAGTCCTTGCTTGTTTCTGATTCCGCCAGCACTGACAGTTGGAAGCACCCCCTCTCTTTTAACTTTTTATGGTTTGGGGGATCAAGCCCAGGGTCTCCTTCAAGCTGCTAGGGAATCATTCTGTCACTGAGCAACATCCCGCCCTTCCCTTCTAAAAGTATTATCAGGGAGAGTTGTTTAAACGAAAAGGATTTTTGGCATCTATGAAAATAACCAACTTTCATGTCCAATGGCCTAAGTGCTGCAGCGTTGCTCCAGCTTCTATATTAAGCTACTCTCATTCTTGGAGTGACCTTATCTGTTGCCACCTGTGAGGGTCTGGCTGGTACACACTGTGCGGTGTCTGCTTTGGAACACAATATTGAATTTTCATGTCTATGTCTGTGAGGCCGGCACAAAGGTTCTGCCTTTTAAAGTCACTGTAAGTAAGTGGACAGTGTCAATGCTCAGTTTGGTCAGAAATCAGCTTGGCTGCCATCCTCTCATACAAAAAATCATTATGCTGATTGTTTTAGATTTGTTTCTTACGTGCATGGGTATTTTGCCTGTGTATGTGTCTAAGCGTCACATGTGTGCCTGGTGCCTGTAGAAGTCAGGCGAGCAGTAGGTCCCCTGGAGCTGGAGTTACGGGTGGCTGTGAGACACCATGTGTGTGCGGGGAACTGAACACAGGTCCTCTGCGGGAGCAGATGTTCTTAACCACTGAGCATCTCTCCAGTCCTATTCGATTCTTTATTTGGGAACCAGGACTCAGCAGCGAAACCATTTGGACACAGTCTTCGAGCCTGCGTGCTAGAAGCTGGATCACTACAGGAACAACTTGCAAACAAGGCCGGTACTACAGCCTAGGCAGAGCGGTACACGAACGATGATGATGAGAAATTCATAGAGGGGAGATACAGAGGGTAACCTTCAATGTTTTCATTGGGTGCTGTCTATTTTCTTCTCCTGACACAAGGTCTCACCAGGATCTGAAGTTCACCAATTAAACAAGATGGGGTGGTCAGCAAGGCCCAGTGACCCTCCTGTCAATCCTCCCCCCAGGATTGTAAGGGTGTGCCACCACACCTTATTCAGTGCAGGGGACTGAGTTCAGGTCCTCATGATTGTATGGCCAGGCATTTACTGACCTGAACCCTCAGCCCTTTATGAGACAGTCTTAAAAAGTAGAAAGTTGATACAGCCAAAAAGAACACAAAGTACACCATTATGTATGACTTTCCACCTATCTGATCTGGAATTATCACGTGTTCGTGAAAGCAAGCACACCACGGGAACAGGTTGAAGTCAACTCCACTGGGAACAAATTTGGCAGCATTTATCAAAACCAAGAATAGCGTTCACTTGGAGCCAACAGCTTCACTTCCAGGCAACTATCCAAGAGAAACATTTGTACATGTGCACACAGCACACGCTCATACAGGACTACTTCATGAGAAGAGAAAGATTCTAAAAGCACACACACACCAAGAGACAAGCAGTTAAGACGCTGGTGCACCCACAACACGAAATACAACACAGACATTAACAGTAAAAACAGAAAGCTGGGCTTCTTGTGTGTCCTGACGTGAGTTCAGCGTGCTGAAAGCCTGGGAAAGAACCTCACTGAAATAGAAGCGCCCCATTTTATAAACACACAGGACACAGACGCTATGGGTGAAAGCAGACAAGTGCTCACCGAGAACTATTCTTAGTGGTGACCTTGGGGACACTGCAGGTGATGCTCAGGCACTTCCATGTTGACGCAGCATTGTACCACGGCAGTCAGAACATGGGCAGCCATGTGCTCTCACAGAGAGGCCTTCCTTTTACATGAAGAACCAATACAAAGAAACGAAAGCACCACGGTGTCCCTAACAGCGGCTGGGTGTGTGGTGGGCCTCTCCAGGAAGCCTCACATACTGACTCAGAGCCCTAGGAAAGGAAGTATTAGGGAAGAGCCGACTGAGCAGCCGCAGGAACAAGTGGCAGAGAATGCAAGAAACACCTATAGGTCACGCACCTGAGAAGCAGCTAACATCTGAAACACACACGAACACAACTGATCGCAAGAAAACAAGCCAATGTAAAGATGGGCAAAGGACACAAAGTACATCTTTATGATTGTGATAGGGCCTCCTGTAGCCCAGAATGGCCTTGAACTATTGGTCATTCTGCTTCTACCTCCC